ATCTTAAAGTGATTGAATAAAATCTAACTAAGTCGTAATGATAAATATTTTTCTATACTAAGTTAAAATTGAACTTAATAGTTATTTTATCCATCTTTATATTTTTTTGTAACACAAAATCTTTATTATTAATCCTTTTATCCTTTTAGGAAACAAAGGATATGCACTCATGCTTAATAATTAATTTGCTACATTTATATATTATTTGAATTGTTTTCTTTAACAAAATCTAATATGTAAATGTTGTGAAGATCAAATCAACACATTCTTTATCAAGCTTTCATAATCATAAAGATGGAGGCACAACTTAAAGTTTCTACATGAAGATGTCATAAAATCGAATATTGACTATATAAAAGCAACGATCAAGTCTCATTGACCTATATAAAGAGACTAAGTTGAAGATAGAAAATACACAACAATGGTATATCTTTCGAAGTCTATGTATTTGTGTTCTTTGTGGGATTGTGATAAATCTTATAAATTCTTCACATTTGTGAAGCTTTTCCAAGTGAGTTTAAAATGTGCTCTTTGTAAAAGTGTTCTTCTTTGTCATTGAGAATTTATAATCATAGAGAAGATTAAAAAAGTGTAATATAGAAAGATTTGTATATTTTACAGAGTGTTCTTTGTCATTGAGAATTTTTAATCATAGTAAAGATTAAAAAAGAGTAATATAGAAAGATTTGTATATTTTTCAAAGTGTTCTTTGTCATTGAGAATTTTTAATCATAGAAAAGATTAAAAAAGTGTAATATAGAAAGATTTGTATATTCGTTATGAAATGAATCAATATAAAATTTTATGTATGCTTGGTCTGTGTTCGGTAGACAAAGTATAGAGTTGAACATAATGTATACGTTCTTTTGGAGTGTATGAAAAACGGAGGAGAAATAAGATAAAAGAGGGGCATGTGATGTGATGAATAAAAGAAAAAAGAAAAAGAAAATATGATAGAGAAAGCAAGTGTATTTTTATAAATTTTTTGACCTCACTAAATCCCTGAACAATAATAAGTTTTACATCTTTCTCTATAAAAATACCTTATTAAATAATAATCAGTAAAAAAAAAGACGACGGTAGATATATTTATCATTTTTTTCTAAGTAAATAGATTTAACTTTAGAAACAATATATTAGTTTTATTATATCTTGGTGACTAAACATGCTTGTGTTTCCATGGGTATATTGTAAAGTGTTGTAAAAAAAGAAAAACAAAAAAGAAATTATTAGAAGCATTTAATTTCCCAAAAGACCTGTTGCAGTGGAGATGAGATTGATTAAAAGATGAAGAGGGTACAAATGATCATGTCAGGTTGCTAAAATTGTGGTCTGGATTTTTATTTGAAGTATCATCTAACTGTACTGGCAAGCCATAAAAAAATGCAACAGATTGATTTATTATGGAGTTGCTGCCAAGAAATCATGACTTTATTTTAGCCTTCTGCAGTTACGTGAAAGTAAACATTTTGGCGGAAATTAAAGAAGCAGACCTGTTTTGTCCTCAATGTATTTGCCCTACTTCTCTTTGTATAGTTAGCATAAAGTGCTTGTTATTTCTCACACAACATGATTCTCTGACCCCCTGCTTCCCATTTGTTAACTTAGTGCAACAAATTCTAACGCAAAGATTCGTTTACATTCACAAAACGGCAAGTAGAAAACTAGACAACTTATACATCAATAATATATCTTTAAAAAAATCGTATCACTTTAAGATTAATTCAACCATAGTAAACATTCGTTTCTCCAAAACATGCCATTTAACTCAAAATTTTCTACTTGAGGGAGAGGAACAAAAACTTATATTTTTTCTTCATTATTTACAAGGAGCTGTGTGAAAAGATCACATCTTAGATGATCAGAAAATGCGTGGAGTTGCTTAGCAGCATTTAGATAGTTCTTTTTTTCCAATTGTGGGTGTTAAACTTGTGATTGTCCAAAAGTGCAGCGTGTTCATATACAGTGTCAACTGTGAGGTACAAGACAAAGCAAAGAAGTAGTCATACGAAACAGGTCTCCTTTGTGTACTTGTAGGTTGTGTGTCTCAAACGGAGTGGAAGAGAAAGGAAGAGGGAAAAAATAAGTTTAACCATGTGATGTGAGCGTGTTGGTTTAGGATGAAAGAGGAGACATAGGGAAGAAGCAACTTTAATAACACTGCATCATCATCACCATCATCATTATCATCATGCTGTGTCCTTTTTTCAGAAACACACACACACACCTTCACTCTCCAAATCTTAGAATTCTACGCTTTCCATTTCCCACCTCTCTCTTTCCTTCTCTCTCTCTCTCTCTCCTCATGATTTGAATACATAACTTGGTTTCTGTATTATTACTATTGCACACTATCATACATATTGGTCAACTCTTTTGTTGGTTGCTGCTCCACCTAAAGCTTTTACTACAACGTTCCCTCTCCCTATAAATACACTATCCCTCATCACATATTCCTAACATCTTTCTCACACAGAAACCCTATTTTCAAACTGCAGAAGGAAGAAACCTCGGTAGCCAATGTGCAATATTACGACAAAGATCTCTTAGTGTAGATTACGACCAAGATTCTAAACCTCAACATGTCGGATTCTTATGCTAGTACCTTTCACTCTCCCACTCCAAACGTCACCCATGCAACCCCCAAAATCACCACATTGTGCTCAATAGCTCAACCTTATTGTATTTGCACTCACTGTAACCACATCCTCTCCTTCAACCACCGTGTTGGTAAGCCTAAGTCGAATAAAGGGCATGTTTGGATAACTATTCTAAGCATATTTTTGTGTGATGAATGTAGGGATTCTCTTTGTGTTTTTGATTTTGTACATTTGCAACAAGTGAAGTGGTTATCCATACATGCAGGATTCATCAAATTCTCATACATATACATGTCCATATATAGTATACTCATAGTATAGCCTTCTTAATGTTCCTTTTAATGCGGTTAATTAGCATTGACTTGGGTATGGTAAGAAATTTGATTACACTTGGGATAAGCATCTATTTTCCATGTGTCCTGTGGTGCAGGTAATGCAGCAGAGGAAGGGACAAATAACACAGGGTCCCATGTTCAGTCCCAGCAAAGCACAAGGTGGAGTCCAACACCAGTTCAGTTACTGGTCCTTGAGGAATTGTATAGGCAAGGCACTAAAACACCATCAGCTGAACAGATTCAGCAAATAGCTTCACAGTTGCGGCAGTTTGGGAAGATTGAAGGGAAGAACGTGTTCTACTGGTTCCAGAATCACAAGGCGAGAGAGAGACAGAAGAGGCGCCGCAGGGAGATGGAGGAAAATAATGCTGCTTCTTCTAGCGAAGGTGAGAACAAAAAAGTAGTAAGAAAAGTAGTACGTTGAGGGAAATTCAGAAAAAGGCAATAAGATAGAGGAAGGAGGTACATATACAGCTAGATATTATCATGTTCTAATGCCACAACGTTTTTGTGGCCTTTGGGGCTATTCAAGGTTCTTTTAGCGGTCAAAAGATTCCTATATTATGCATCACTCTTGCACTGATGATTAAAACCACGAGAGAGAGAGAGAGAGTGTGTGTGTGTGGGTGGTTTCTTATGATTTTTTTAGGATGCAAGATTTGACGTTAAATTTTGGGGGTGTTTGGATTTTGGCCACAGGGTTGAAAGAGACAGGTTGTGGAGTTAAAGAGACAAAGAAGTGGGCATCCACTTCAAACTGCAGTCTACATGCAGAGGTCTGTAATTACTCTTGGCTTTGTTCACGGTACTACTATAACATTTTATTCAGCTTTGTTAAGCAAAGATACCCCATATATTATAGGAGACCAATAATAGGGTCTAATTATTTGTTCACAAGGTAAAACAAAAGATAAAGCCAAAATATAAAAATTCACTCTGCATTGACACATAACAAAGAAATAAAAGAAAACAACAAGAGCTTTTGTATCTTGGAAAAAAGGAGAGGTTCAAAAGCTGCTTTTTTTAACTTTCTGTTGGGGCTGTTTTATGCTAGATCAGTTCAGACTTTCTTGGACTTGTGAATTGAATGTGAATTCTGAATTCTCTCCACCCCATTTTCCCACCCTCTCTCTTGTTTTAATTTTAAATTGTTTTTACTGCCAACTTTTACTATCCGTATTTTTCTCAGGAATCTGCCGCACTGGATATAGCAGAAAAAGGCTCTAATGGGTGGACTCAGTTTGAGGAGAGAGGCATACAAGTTTTGAGGAGAAACATATCAGAAAGAAGGTAGCAATTGCAAGATAACATGGAAATGCCTTGTTTCCCTCCCACTACTATGGCAGCTCTCGCAACCTCACACAGAACACTTAGCACACAACTTTTAATCCCTCAAAGTTATAACAGAGAAAGTTTAAACTACTATGATGGAGAAAATGCAGATCCTCGAACCCTCGACCTATTTCCACATAAGAATGATGACCAAGATGGCATTTGTCTTGCTGAGAGGAAATCCATGTTCTGTGCCAGTGCTTCTATGGACACTGATATCACCTCCAGCCAGTTTTTTGAGTTTCTTCCTTTAAGAAACTGAATGTGATTTTTATAATACATGAGATGTTTAACCAAAAATAATTGGCTGTAATGAATAATATATATACATGTCTATTAGTTTCTCTTTTCTGGTTTCGTTGGGACTCGCAAATCTTTGGTTTCGTTTCTCTCTAGTGAGTCAGTGATCATGCATGTAGAAGTTACATGTGCGCGTGCATATGAACCTATAATGTTTTTGTCTTGTTGACTCTCTTACTTTTCAGTTTTTGAGGCTCTGGTTTTTGGGAAAGGCGTGTTCATCATAAACTCCATGCCTTTTGTTTGAAAACTTAAGATAGAGCTACTCATACTCTCCTTTTACGTGGATAATGATTGATTCGTTAACAAATATTGTTGCTTTTATACACAACCACTATAGTAGAGTCTCTATCTCTCGTTATCTCTGTGTCCATGTTCACATCGGGACATACACAGTGACAGAGATATAACTGATTAGAACAGTTCATCTTCACCGTATATTATAACTGATTAAGACTGTTTTACTTAGTTCTATGTAGTTTGTTTTGATTAATAGTTCTAGATCCGGCGTTGCAATGTATGCCTTACTTAGATCTGTATCCTTAAAAGTTAAGAAAAAACAAAAAAAGACAGCTAAGTTTTTAAAGCTAGGAACAGCTATATTGACAAGCTTAGTATACTAGGTAGTTTTCTAATGTGTTTAAATTCCTTAATTACAATTATTTCATATATAGAATTAACTGGACATTTATACCACTTACCTTGGTATATACCAAATATCATACAATTAACTAAGATTACCTAATATACCATGGCCATCTTGAGAACAAAATTGTATTAGCTAGTTGTATGTATTGATGTCCGCTAGAAAATAGATATATTCCATGTTTGTTTGAAAGAAAATCAATTTTATGTGTTACACTAAAATATATAAGGTCCAATTAGTATAATTCATTTTTAAAAATTTATCAAATATAAGTCAAACCGTGGAAGGTTAAATTTGTGAGGAATAGGAGGAGGTAAAACACGTAAAGGTACTAACTACACAAGATTTTATTATCTTTATCTCAAGATACTAATCATATCAATTCAATGCCATATTTTCTTACATACAATTGCACACCAATGATCTTTGCTTTGAGTGTTCTTAGAGCTTTACGAATACACTTTCAATAATTTTATGACGTTTTTAAAAATAAATGTAAGAATGAACTCAAAATATAGCATGAGGGTGAAGGGAAGGCAGATCATGAAATAGTGAAGACAACTTGTTTCTAGATAGCCAAAGGAACATGAAAATGGTTGGGTGAGGTTGTTTTAGCTCCTAACATGAGGTATGTAGTTTTGTTCAATGTACTAAAAGAAAAACATGTTTTTGTTTTGTTTAGTACAAGAATATATGCGGATGAAGAAGTCTTGGACAAGTTTTGTTATTGTTGCTTGGTTTTTTTCTGGAAGAAGGTGTGAAGGATATATATCCCAAGGATAGTAGAGTAATTTTCATAGTTTTAGAACATAAAAATGTATGGTCTTGAGAAGTTTATATGCCACATACTTCAAAATATTACATTTATGAGTCTTTTTTTGACTTCAGATATACTCAACATATTCATTTCCAATATGAGGCTTCTTTTAATAACAAGATTAATACAAAAACAAAAGTATATAGTATACACTTTAAAAATATTACAAAGACCCATGGAGGGAAAATCTAGGAGTAAATTAATACTTCTTAATCTATATAATTGACATCACTCTGCAAGCTGAAATTGTGTTGGACTATCCAAGTAGATTTTAATTTTTTTAAAAGAATTTCAGTTGTTCCATCTTTATTTTTCCTGTTTGGAAATCAATATATAAAGAAGTTTTTCAAATCAACTCTAATGTTTGTTTTAGAATGAAGTACATTCAGCAAAACGTATAAGAACAAATTATTTAACACTATAACTGGAACATTGTAAAATTATTTACTATTTACACTTACAACAATAATTTATATAAGTCAGTTTGACTGTTAATTTATATAATTACTTTTACTATTATTATGTATATGTGAACTTTTAGATAATATAATTTTTAAAATATGTAATAATATTTACTTATATTTTACTAATTTTATATTCAAATGAATTCATGTAATACAATGCCAATTAATTTTCAATTTAGAGTTAATCTACTTTATGAGAATTTAAAATTAATTTCCAAGTGGATAAGACATGAGAATTTTAATTTTTTGATCCACAATAATAAAGATTTTTGTACAAGTTTATTCAAAGTTGAAGAAACTATATAAAGCAGTGAATTGACAATCAAAGTAAGTTTGAGAATTTTAATTTGAACATAAAGTTTAATAATTTGATAAATTTTACTTCACCTTGCCCCAATATATCTACTGCCCTTTACTAATATAGTCTAACAAATAACTCCTTATATTTGATGAAATTTAATCTAACAAAATAGCTCATCCATTACCCTTAAAATACTCTGAAGAATTATTTTTGGTATACTCAGATGAACTTTTGCAGCAAATCGAAAATAGATTCTCCAAAATAGGGTAGTTTAGACAACATGTGACTATGCAGAAGTTGAAATGAGCTAAAAAAAAGTTGGGTGGCTTAAAGGTTATGTTATAACTCATAATGGCTTTTGGTGTCTAAACAAGCAGCTTCTTTCGGCGTTTAAACCTTTTGCATTGGATTTGTTTGCATCTGTTATGAAACATTTGGTAAGGTGGTGAGTATGAAATGTGGAATATTAATTCTCTTTTTTATTGAAGTTATTAAAAGAGGTGCATTATGATATGAAGAGGTGATTTTAGAGTTGAGATATTGAGAAAAAGAAAAAAAGTTTGGAAAAGAAATAATTGAGTGTTGTCCTTGTATAGGGGAAAATACCTTGCCCAAAACATCTCATTGCGTTAAGGAATCAACATTCATTCAACTTGGGAGATATATAGGGTATCTAGGGTAGGCAAGATAGTTTAGTGAACTAAAGAATATTTTACTTTGTCTAAGGCTTTNCCGTGTTGGTAAGCCTAAGTCGAATAAAGGGCATGTTTGGATAACTATTCTAAGCATATTTTTGTGTGATGAATGTAGGGATTCTCTTTGTGTTTTTGATTTTGTACATTTGCAACAAGTGAAGTGGTTATCCATACATGCAGGATTCATCAAATTCTCATACATATACATGTCCATATATAGTATACTCATAGTATAGCCTTCTTAATGTTCCTTTTAATGCGGTTAATTAGCATTGACTTGGGTATGGTAAGAAATTTGATTACACTTGGGATAAGCATCTATTTTCCATGTGTCCTGTGGTGCAGGTAATGCAGCAGAGGAAGGGACAAATAACACAGGGTCCCATGTTCAGTCCCAGCAAAGCACAAGGTGGAGTCCAACGCCAGTTCAGTTACTGGTCCTTGAGGAATTGTATAGGCAAGGCACTAAAACACCATCAGCTGAACAGATTCAGCAAATAGCTTCACAGTTGCGGCAGTTTGGGAAGATTGAAGGGAAGAACGTGTTCTACTGGTTCCAGAATCACAAGGCGAGAGAGAGACAGAAGAGGCGCCGCAGGGAGATGGAGGAAAATAATGCTGCTTCTTCTAGCGAAGGTGAGAACAAAAAAGTAGTAAGAAAAGTAGTACGTTGAGGGAAATTCAGAAAAAGGCAATAAGATAGAGGAAGGAGGTACATATACAGCTAGATATTATCATGTTCTAATGCCACAACGTTTTTGTGGCCTTTGGGGCTATTCAAGGTTCTTTTAGCGGTCAAAAGATTCCTATATTATGCATCACTCTTGCACTGATGATTAAAACCACGAGAGAGAGAGAGAGAGTGTGTGTGTGTGGGTGGTTTCTTATGATTTTTTTAGGATGCAAGATTTGACGTTAAATTTTGGGGGTGTTTGGATTTTGGCCACAGGGTTGAAAGAGACAGGTTGTGGAGTTAAAGAGACAAAGAAGTGGGCATCCACTTCAAACTGCAGTCTACATGCAGAGGTCTGTAATTACTCTTGGCTTTGTTCACGGTACTACTATAACATTTTATTCAGCTTTGTTAAGCAAAGATACCCCATATATTATAGGAGACCAATAATAGGGTCTAATTATTTGTTCACAAGGTAAAACAAAAGATAAAGCCAAAATATAAAAATTCACTCTGCATTGACACATAACAAAGAAATAAAAGAAAACAACAAGAGCTTTTGTATCTTGGAAAAAAGGAGAGGTTCAAAAGCTGCTTTTTTTAACTTTCTGTTGGGGCTGTTTTATGCTAGATCAGTTCAGACTTTCTTGGACTTGTGAATTGAATGTGAATTCTGAATTCTCTCCACCCCATTTTCCCACCCTCTCTCTTGTTTTAATTTTAAATTGTTTTTACTGCCAACTTTTACTATCCGTATTTTTCTCAGGAATCTGCCGCACTGGATATAGCAGAAAAAGGCTCTAATGGGTGGACTCAGTTTGAGGAGAGAGGCATACAAGTTTTGAGGAGAAACATATCAGAAAGAAGGTTGCAATTGCAAGATAACATGGAAATGCCTTGTTTCCCTCCCACTACTATGGCAGCTCTCGCAACCTCACACAGAACACTTAGCACACAACTTTTAATCCCTCAAAGTTATAACAGAGAAAGTTTAAACTACTATGATGGAGAAAATGCAGATCCTCGAACCCTCGACCTATTTCCACATAAGAATGATGACCAAGATGGCATTTGTCTTGCTGAGAGGAAATCCATGTTCTGTGCCAGTGCTTCTATGGACACTGATATCACCTCCAGCCAGTTTTTTGAGTTTCTTCCTTTAAGAAACTGAATGTGATTTTTATAATACATGAGATGTTTAACCAAAAATAATTGGCTGTAATGAATAATATATATACATGTCTATTAGTTTCTCTTTTCTGGTTTCGTTGGGACTCGCAAATCTTTGGTTTCGTTTCTCTCTAGTGAGTCAGTGATCATGCATGTAGAAGTTACATGTGCGCGTGCATATGAACCTATAATGTTTTTGTCTTGTTGACTCTCTTACTTTTCAGTTTTTGAGGCTCTGGTTTTTGGGAAAGGCGTGTTCATCATAAACTCCATGCCTTTTGTTTGAAAACTTAAGATAGAGCTACTCATACTCTCCTTTTACGTGGATAATGATTGATTCGTTAACAAATATTGTTGCTTTTATACACAACCACTATAGTAGAGTCTCTATCTCTCGTTATCTCTGTGTCCATGTTCACATCGGGACATACACAGTGACAGAGATATAACTGATTAGAACAGTTCATCTTCACCGTATATTATAACTGATTAAGACTGTTTTACTTAGTTCTATGTAGTTTGTTTTGATTAGTAGTTCTAGATCCGGCGTTGCAATGTATGCCTTACTTAGATCTGTATCCTTAAAAGTTAAGAAAAAACAAAAAAAGACAGCTAAGTTTTTAAAGCTAGGAACAGCTATATTGACAAGCTTAGTATACTAGGTAGTTTTCTAATGTGTTTAAATTCCTTAATTACAATTATTTCATATATAGAATTAACTGGACATTTATACCACTTACCTTGGTATATACCAAATATCATACAATTAACTAAGATTACCTAATATACCATGGCCATCTTGAGAACAAAATTGTATTAGCTAGTTGTATGTATTGATGTCCGCTAGAAAATAGATATATTCCATGTTTGTTTGAAAGAAAATCAATTTTATGTGTTACACTAAAATATATAAGGTCCAATTAGTATAATTCATTTTTAAAAATTTATCAAATATAAGTCAAACCGTGGAAGGTTAAATTTGTGAGGAATAGGAGGAGGTAAAACACGTAAAGGTACTAACTACACAAGATTTTATTATCTTTATCTCAAGATACTAATCATATCAATTCAATGCCATATTTTCTTACATACAATTGCACACCAATGATCTTTGCTTTGAGTGTTCTTAGAGCTTTACGAATACACTTTCAATAATTTTATGACGTTTTTAAAAATAAATGTAAGAATGAACTCAAAATATAGCATGAGGGTGAAGGGAAGGCAGATCATGAAATAGTGAAGACAACTTGTTTCTAGATAGCCAAAGGAACATGAAAATGGTTGGGTGAGGTTGTTTTAGCTCCTAACATGAGGTATGTAGTTTTGTTCAATGTACTAAAAGAAAAACATGTTTTTGTTTTGTTTAGTACAAGAATATATGCGGATGAAGAAGTCTTGGACAAGTTTTGTTATTGTTGCTTGGTTTTTTTCTGGAAGAAGGTGTGAAGGATATATATCCCAAGGATAGTAGAGTAATTTTCATAGTTTTAGAACATAAAAATGTATGGTCTTGAGAAGTTTATATGCCACATACTTCAAAATATTACATTTATGAGTCTTTTTTTGACTTCAGATATACTCAACATATTCATTTCCAATATGAGGCTTCTTTTAATAACAAGATTAATACAAAAACAAAAGTATATAGTATACACTTTAAAAATATTACAAAGACCCATGGAGGGAAAATCTAGGAGTAAATTAATACTTCTTAATCTATATAATTGACATCACTCTGCAAGCTGAAATTGTGTTGGACTATCCAAGTAGATTTTAATTTTTTTAAAAGAATTTCAGTTGTTCCATCTTTATTTTTCCTGTTTGGAAATCAATATATAAAGAAGTTTTTCAAATCAACTCTAATGTTTGTTTTAGAATGAAGTACATTCAGCAAAACGTATAAGAACAAATTATTTAACACTATAACTGGAACATTGTAAAATTATTTACTATTTACACTTACAACAATAATTTATATAAGTCAGTTTGACTGTTAATTTATATAATTACTTTTACTATTATTATGTATATGTGAACTTTTAGATAATATAATTTTTAAAATATGTAATAATATTTACTTATATTTTACTAATTTTATATTCAAATGAATTCATGTAATACAATGCCAATTAATTTTCAATTTAGAGTTAATCTACTTTATGAGAATTTAAAATTAATTTCCAAGTGGATAAGACATGAGAATTTTAATTTTTTGATCCACAATAATAAAGATTTTTGTACAAGTTTATTCAAAGTTGAAGAAACTATATAAAGCAGTGAATTGACAATCAAAGTAAGATTGAGAATTTTAATTTGAACATAAAGTTTAATAATTTGATAAATTTTACTTCACCTTGCCCCAATATATCTACTGCCCTTTACTAATATAGTCTAACAAATAACTCCTTATATTTGATGAAATTTAATCTAACAAAATAGCTCATCCATTACCCTTAAAATACTCTGAAGAATTATTTTTGGTATACTCAGATGAAATTTTGCAGCAAATCGAAAATAGATTCTCCAAAATAGGGTAGTTTAGACAACATGTGACTATGCAGAAGTTGAAATGAGCTAAAAAAAAGTTGGGTGGCTTAAAGGTTATGTTATAACTCATAATGGCTTTTGGTGTCTAAACAAGCAGCTTCTTTCGGCGTTTAAACCTTTTGCATTGGATTTGTTTGCATCTGTTATGAAACATTTGGTAAGGTGGTGAGTATGAAATGTGGAATATTAATTCTCTTTTTTATTGAAGTTATTAAAAGAGGTGCATTATGATATGAAGAGGTGATTTTAGAGTTGAGATATTGAGAAAAAGAAAAAAAGTTTGGAAAAGAAATAATTGAGTGTTGTCCTTGTATAGGGGAAAATACCTTGCCCAAAACATCTCATTGCGTTAAGGAATCAACATTCATTCAACTTGGGAGATATATAGGGTATCTAGGGTAGGCAAGATAGTTTAGTGAACTAAAGAATATTTTACTTTGTCTAAGGCTTTGATTTTAAGAAAAAAAAA